TGTGCGTATGAACAGTTCTTGCATGAGGCCCATTGTGAGTAAATTACACAGATTTCCCTCATGTTGCAGGTATACGGATGTTTAGAGCAATCTCACAGATATTTTCAGATTACATTGTTTTTTTCCAAAAACTCTCCCCTATGTGTGAGTATTACCATATTTTTTGTGAAAGTTACAGATTTTTAAGAGTCATGGTATAGGTAAACATCCAAAAGGGTTGACATGTATTTAAACTCCTTCCAAGATGAATATAGACATGGTTCAAAATTAAAGAAACGAACAATGAATTAAGAAAGAAATATTTGTTTAGAAAAACAAAGATCAAGACAAATAGTAAAAACAATTGTACTTCTGTTAGTGTGGAAAAACTGTGAAGAATTCAAACAGTTTTTCACACTTGAAATACAAAAACATGTATAAAAATCATTTGATACACAAATACAGCAAGGTTTGATTATGATTGTTGTCGTTTATGAGTTTGTTTATAGACTCAGTTAGAATTAATCTGAGTCTGAGTCTTCCCGTAGGTTCAAATGCTTGTTTTGTTTTGAATGTTTTGGGAATTGGTAGTTATTTTATGCCTAAGGTGTGAAATGAAGGGTTACTGGGGTTAGGTTTAGGGTAAGTGTATACGCACGAGCACAAATATCTCCATTCTCGTAGAAGCCTGGGCAACACTGGGACTTCCTCCGGTGCATGGTTTTCTCACCTCTCCGATAAGCAATTCGATAGTTCACCCTGCAAAACACACAGTGTGGGAGGTCACAAAGAATCAGATCAATAGATTTTTAAAAAATGCATACTTTTTAAAATTTATCAACAAAGTTTGTTTTGTTTAATGAAATGGAGTTTGGAGACTAGATTGGTTGGCTGTGTCTCAAATCAAAAGTAGACTGCGGTTGATGTTGGCTGCAGTCGACGTGGGCCGTAGGCTGCTTGTGTCGGCTGCATTATCAGCTGTGAAATGAGACGGTCTAGCCTACAAAAGACGTATATTTGTGTGACCAAGCACTGCCCCATTACCATGGTAATACAAAGTATAGCTTCACAGAATTCAGTTTTAATAAAAAAACGTTAGAAGTAAATAAATTAAAAGCATTAATAATTTGGGTTTAGCTCCAGTATCAGTACTTGTAACTGCATTTTATTTAACATGTCATTGCAACCAAAGTTTCTTCAGCTAAGTTGTTTAACTTACATTTTTCAGTCCGTAATAAAATTCCAAAATACATCATTAAAAAAACTCATTTTTTTCTTTTATTTTCTGTTGTAAAATAATAAAAAAACAACCTCTGGTGTCTTTGTTTTTCTGTTTAATTTGCTGATGTCGCAATGAATTCTGGGATACCGTCGGCCATGTAGGGTACTCTGATGCAGCCGACGTTTTCGGGGTTTTGTCAGCTGCATTTGTCGGCCGCATGTGTAGGCGCCGATGAATTGGGACAGCCTACGGCGTGGGGCAGTGACGTAAACGGCCAACAAATGCGGCCGATGTCGGCCGCAAACACAGCCACTGTTTTTATGATAATCCCCAACGCTTAACTCTCAAAAGACAAAAACTAAAGGTGTATTCACATCAGAAAAGTCCTTTGGTCCACTATGTTTGGTCCGTACCAAAAGCAGACTCTATTTTGCATTCACATTGTGCTGTTTTTGCAAATGGACTATAATCTATAAACAAAGCTATGCTGGTAATGGTCATTGCTCCCATTGGACAGAAATGACAGGGGCAGGACAGAGCAAGGAAAGAAAGATGGTGCTGTTAATACAACTGCAATACCATTTAGTATTTCAAGAGCAACACATTGAATGGCAGTTTCACGATGATATACTTATAATTTTGGGACGGCGTTGGCAAATGTGTGCTGCAACCCGAAAGGAGACGAAATGCTCAGTGTTCCCCGACCCACAATGGCTCACTGTTTGTAGCATAGTGGTAGCATTAGCAACACTGGAGGGCTAATGTTGTGTCTTGGTTTGTTTGTTTGGTCCACACCAGGGTTCACATGAGTGAATTCACGCCTGCATAAAAGGTCCAGACCAAGGGGGGAAACAAACTCTGGTCCGTTAAAAGTAAACTAAATGTGTCATGTGTGAAAAGTGAATCCAAAGACAATATTTAACACTTAAACTGCTTAAACTTTACAGGAGGAATTGGTGACATTTTATCTATAGCTCTGATGCATGTGAGAATGGTCCCCTGACTACCTATACTATGTCCATGAAAAACTGTATCTACCTAAACTATCAAAGAATTGTCAGTATCCATCCTTTATCTACTGCTTGTTCCAAAGTTGGGTCTCAGGGGCAAAAGAGTTATTAGGAAAGTTTGCATATAGTTTGCATAACTGTTATTTTGTGGGCCAAAAGCTAAAAAGTTTGAAAACAACTGGCCTAGACCTCTCTTTCCACAGCCACCTCTTCCAGCTCTTCTGGGAGGATTCCAAGGCATTCCCAGACCAGAGAAGAAACATAGTCTCTCCAGCATGTCCTGGGTCTTCTTTGGGGTCTCCTCCCAGTTGAACATGCCTGAAAAACCTACCTAAAGGCCTTGTCACACTACGACATTTTAGACAACTTATGCAAATTTTGTTCAACACGTTGCTGTAAGTTGTACAAGTTAGGTGTAAGTTGTGAATATTTTGTCAGAATGATGGCCCGACAATAATTTTGGACATGTTCAAAATTTGTCAGCTTATGCCAACATGCTGCTGATAAGTAAGGCATAAGTTACAGGTCTGCTACAGATTATATACAGTGTGCATCAGTTCACATATGTATCAGGTAGGAATTCATTTCTTATTCATAAGTGATATAAGTCCAACACCAGCGAGACACTTCTGAAGCAGCATTTAACTTTTTAAACCCGAGTGGCTACCGTCAATTAAGGCTCATGTGAAAGCCAGTTTAACTTTTGCATAATGATTATGTATTACAATAATAATACAGGTAAACTAATCCTAAATCAAAAGAACTGATGCAAAAATAAATACCATTTTACTTTTCATATTTTATGAATAAATGCATTGATCAAAAATAATGTCTCAGTCTGGTTTTAAATACAAACAAGTTTATTTCACCTGAACCTTGTTTAAAATATTGTAATTCTGTA